TTTGCAAATATTTTCTTCATGGGAAACACAACTTAATTTAGATCTGTCGCTCATTATGAAGAAAATATAGCCTGGAATGAGGAGACTGAATGTAATTAGGTTGCACTAAGCTGCAATATTAGGGCTCTTGAAAGGAGGCCAGGCAGGCCCGTCCCCTTTGAGATGCACTGCAGCTTTTGCAAGAGCTCTTTTTTTTTTTTTTTTTTTTTTTTTTTTTGTGGGCCTCATTATTCCCATGCCAATTACTGTCAATCATTAGCAGCACTATGAAATAAATAAATCACCATACGACTGCAAGGGGTTTGGGAGCTTCCCGGAGACTTGGCATTCGCACGTCCTGCTCACCAGTGGGCAAACCCAGCACGAAATCCCACTCTGAGAACGGGGCCCTGATCAGCTCAGCCTGCAGCACCAGCCCCGGTTCCCCATGCAGGAAATGATACCCAGGGTCTATCAGGGCACAAAGGTGGCAGTGTGTCCCCAGACTCCAAGGGCTGGTGGCCCTGAGGTCACAGGAAAGAGGTGTCGAAAGAAGCTGCCCTCGCTGGAGCTCCCACACTGACCCGTGTCAGCAGGGAAATTGCTTTTTGGCCAGGGATTTATGGGGATTATAACCAAGCGACTCGAGAAGCGAGTCCTACAGAGACGGGCTACGCAATTGCTGTCCCCAATCCCTCCTGCCTGGCTGGGCAAATATTGCTTGAAATTGTTTTTGATGCAAGCATTAAATAGTTCCAGTTTTGCAGTAGCAAAGGCCCCTGCAACCTCCTCTTTTTGAAGAAGGAAGAGGCTGCAGCGAGGGGCAGGGAGCTGCTTTCGCCCAAATTCAACCGTGCAGAACGGAGAAGCAGCTGCACCCTCTGCCGGGGAGCGCGGAAAGGAGCCGCCGGGAGCAACGCGAACCCAGCGCAGCTTCCCCACCCGAGCAGGTATTTTCTCTAAAAACACCCCCTGCTTTCTAAGGGACGTCCCAACAGCGGTGAAACCCCAGCAAGCCTCCAACCACCTCCACCCCAGCTAGGGCTGCCAAGCCCCGTGTGCCACATCCGAAGCGTCTGGGTGCCACCAATAACTTTTCCTCTAATGGGCTCAGTGCTCTGCAGTTGCTTTTACAGACCCGGTCTCCTCTGTGGAGACACCTCCGGCATCAGGGCTCGGATGCGGGGAAGCAGCGCGGCTCTGCTGCAGGATTCATCATCCTGAATCGGGACCTTGTGAGGAATCCCTCGTCCCAGAGTCAGCAACTATTTCACCAGCACCAAAAACACCCTCAAACGAGCCCTGGAAATGCAAGACCCTAAACACATAGCAGCACCCGCGGAGCCTTTCCCTGGGCTGCAGTCCTGCAAAAATAAAAGATGGGAAATAACACCAGCTGAATATTAAAATAAATAAATAAATAAGAGAGCGAGAATAACTATCACCAAAAGGGCACTGGCATTTATGAGCGATAATGCAAATTGCTTGGGACAGGCACTTTGAGGGATTGGGTTATGTATAGAAGATGGAGGAGAAAAGGAAAACAGAAAAAAAAAAAAGGGAAAAATTATATGCATTTACACCCACAAATTTCGTATCTGCATCTATACAGATTCAAAAATATATGTATATGGGGCACCAAGGAAGGAGCGTATTTGCCACCACTCGGGAGCTGCGAGGTTGTTTCCGCAATTGCACTGGGTGCCTTCGGTTGCTTTAACTAATAAAAAACCGCCATGGGTTTCCACAGCTTGAAGCAAGGCTCTGGGGGAAGCACAAAACCCTGCTTTCCCGCAGGCGGAGCGTTTCTACACTATTTCCCCCCTAACTTTGCAACAGAGCCCCTCAGCGCCACTTATTAACCAAGCAGGGCTTCGTTAGCAGCCTTTCCCTCAGTGCCCCTTGCACGAGCCAGATGTTGCATTGCAGGAGTCCCTTAAATGTTAAAACAAGCACTAAAAAAAATCCCCTTAAAAAAATTTGGCACTAAACGAGTTCCTATTTCTTTCAAGGTTTGAGATGTTATCAGCGAAGGGGAGGCAGATCAAACAGCTGCTGCTGGACACCCGGGTCCTCTGGAACATCCTGTTCTTTCTATTTATTTTTTTCCTCAGAAACAGAGGTGGGAGGACAGGAGCTCAGAGCGTTTGCAGCATCTGCCGGTCAGGCTGAGCATTCGCGCCCTTTTGAGCATTGCCAGCAAACTTGCTCACGCCTGGGTAATTTATGTGCAGAGCAGAAATGCAGCTCTTGGAGCTATTTGTGTGCCTGCCATAAGCAGGGAAAATACCGCGTCTTCCGAGCGCCAAGCTTTGAGGCAGATGTTTCTAGATGAATGGGAACTTTATTAGATCGCAGCATGGTTACAGTTTTGGAAATTGCTTTTAATGACGTTGATGAGTTTTAGGACTAGGATTTAATATCATTGCCTTTTAAATCTTATCTGCATTGCACTTAACTGTTGGGCTTATTTGTGAGCAAGCCACTTGCCACTTTGTCACATCCTTGCTCTGCTTCGTAGGGACTAACCAGTCTTAAAATGGGTTGTCCAAGAGTGATAACTGGGGGCCAGGAACAAATCCCCTGCCTTCACTTTCCAAAGAGCAACAGGACAGCACAAAGGAGCCTTGCTTCTCCATGAGCCCTCTTAAATTCTCTTGGACACTGCTTGGTAATTCTCTAGCAGACTGAGCCCTTAACAAAATAAATTAAAGATAATGCTATTTTATCTGAGCTGGGTTAACCGATACCCAGGTGCAGAGAGCTAGGTATTGTTTTTTCCCTGCATATTCTAAATGCACTCTTTCAAAGCATCAAATAAGTAAATTCAAACATATTTCCTCCCAGCATACGTGAGGATCAGAAAAATAGTAGAAGTTGGAGAAAACGGCTGCTGAAGCCTCCCTGCAGGCACTGAATGGTGTCCCCAGGCACCCTTTGCCTCATTTCAGGTGTTAGTTTTGTCCAATGTAAGCTGCTTCCTTGTCACTAGGAATTCACCCCAGCCTCCCGTGACACAGTTGCACGCTACCGCGCTGGGCAAGGGGACAGGGACAAGGTGGCATGCTCGTCTTGAAGGTCTGCTGCCAGCACCAGCTTTTCTCGTGTATATCATAGAATCATAGAATGCTTAAGGTGGGAAGGGACCTCTCGAGGTCATCCAGTCCAACCCCCTGCACACGCAGGGTCACCTAGAGCACGTGGCACAGGACTGCATCCAAGCGGGTTTGGAAGATCTCCAGAGAAGGAGACTCCACAACCTCTCTGGGCAGCCTGTTCCAGTGCTCTGGCACCCTCACTGGTGAGAAATTTTTCCTTAAGTTCATGTGGATTCATCAAATCATGGTTTCTGCTCAGCTGCCGCCAGTGCTGCTGGCAGGGGAGCTGCCTTCGAATCCCTCACGTCTACACTCGGCTTCTGGGCCATTTTGGGACTGCATGGCCAACCTCAACCCCTCGATGCGATACCACCGATGGAAACGCTGCTGAAGAGAGGCACTGAGGGCACAACATCCCATCTGAAAACAAAGCCACCCACATCCCTGGCTTTCCTTTTCCATTGCACAGAGAAATAAAACGGTCAGCGGCTCCCTGTGGCCCAGACCAGGCTCTTCACGAGCCAAGGAGACAAACAACTTCCAGCTCCTGGCCATAAACCAATGGATCACATTCCCTGCCTTCCCAGAAATAACTCCCGCGATGGTCTTGTTCATGCTCCAGCGTTCTCTATTTCTTGAATTTCCTGTAATTTTGCTCAGCCACAATATTATAGGGTTTCTTACTTCTTTTTTTTTTTTGCCCCGTTCAGGCACAGCAGAGACTGTAAACATGTGTGTCTTCCCCCTGGTTGTGCTGCAGGTATCACATCAGAAACACAGGAATATCTGGGGGGCATAATAAAGTGGCAAATAAATATGGGAGAAAAGAGCCCCGTTTTACGTGCTGTTTGATCAAAACATGTAGCTTCCCCAGCAAAAAGTTGCATTCTTCAAGGATAAGGCCACCTGGCTCCATTTATTCCAAGACATGGTGGGAGCGCGAGGTATTTATCCGCCCAGATATTTTTAAAGTTCATCTGAATTCTTTTCCCCTTCTCCACCCAAATTGTCCTGCTAAACTCTGCAGTTGCGCAAGAGGCAGGAATGGAGAGAAAGAGCTGCAAATCGCCCTTAAAGTCTGGCTTTAAAAGTCAGTGCTTGGTTGCAAACAAAATAGTATTTAGCTGGTATTGCTAAATAAACGAAGAGGCTCAGCTGGAGCCTCTTCAGCCCCAGTTAGCTGGGCTGTTGTCCGTTCTTGCTCCTTGGCTTGAATCTGGAAGCAAAAGAACTAGTGCCCCATAAATTTTGTGATTGGCTGGAAAAAATTGGCTAGAGCTTCTGCTGGGATGTATAAATAGAAAGCAGGGTATTTTAGACCTTTCAGTGTGAAAACAAAGCTCCCAAGGCACGCAAAAATGCACCGAGCCACAGCAGTCATTTTCGCGATTGCAATCTCCAGCGGTAAGTTAGATTTTTTTTTTTTTTGTAAACATTGATCTTTGAAAACTGCCTTCTCTTTCTTTTATTTTTTTTCCTGAAGTTCATCCCTAAGGATATAGGAGCCGATTTATTTTTGACTGCCATTTTCTTGCTTTTCAAAAATAAACCCCCTCACATTGTAGAGCAACCATGGGGAAGCCTCTTGAGTTGGGTTAACACCTGTACTCAAATGATTTGAGGAGCAATATCTATGGTGGCTAGGTAAGAAAGGGCAGATTAAAGTCTATAACTTGCTATCAGCATTTATTTTTCCTCAAAAACCCTTTTACTTAAAGATCAGCTTCCTAAACAAAAAGTGTCCCCATAGATGCTTCTGTATTTAATGTTCTCCCTAGATCCACAGTTACAGCAAAGCCCAGGGCAGCCTTACTATGGATTTCAACAGACCTTGTATCATGTCTTCAAGTTTTCATGTTGCCCTTCATGGACGTTAAAAGCAGCAGCTCTGAAATAACCAGGACTGGGAAACCCTGTTTCTAGCCTTTTGCTCATTTTTGCTCTTCTCCTCTCTTTTTTTCTAGCTGTTGCAGCCCAATGGGCCAACATCTGCCCGAGTCAACCCGCAAACAAGATCAGAGGCTGTGACACCAAGGGCTGCGGCGGATACAACGAGCGCAGGTGAAGATGAGCACTGGAGAAATTCCCAATACAAAACAAAACCTTAAAAAGGTGGAATGGGGCAGGGGCTGGAGGACTTGGCTCCCACCTGGAAGGCTGGCGCGGATCCGCCGTGGATGACCCGGGACACTTTGCTCTTCTCTTGCAGGGGTGGCAAGCGGCACAGAGGGGTGGACGTGGTGTGTGAGGACGGCTCCACGGTCCACGCGCCCTTCACGGGGAGGATCGAGCGGCGAACGCGGCCCTACGGCAACGCCATCGATGACGGCGTGCAGCTCTCCGGGTCAGGTACCGAAGCTCAAAGATGGGCATTTTACAAAGCCCAGTGGTAGAGCACTCCAGTTCCTCTATGAGACTTTAAAATAAGCCCAAAAATCACGAATGCAGCCAGAACTGTAGTTTTATAGCATGGGAGTCCAAGCAAAAAGATAACCTAGAAATCCAGGATTTGGCTCCTGTGAGTCCCATTAAATCCAACCACTGCCAGAGGCTAATGGACACTTGAAGCCACTTAATGTTATGAGTCATAGCAGGATCTTGAGTCATAGCAGAGCAAACCAAGCTACATCCAGATGGATTATCCCCAAATTCTGGCAGAAACCAGAAGCCCTGTTAAAAACAACCTTCCACAGAAACATTTACAGCTGAAGCCCAAACGCAGTTGCAGCCTCCTGTGCACGTAACTGGGCCAGGCTCCGTGTGCCACTGGTGGTGGGAAACATGGATCTGTGCATGGATCAGTGGTTGGTCATCATCCTTTCAAGGGATGAAGGGGACAGTACAGATCAGAGCAATTCATCCTCATAAAAAAATAAATTCAAAGGGGTCAGGCTGGTGCATTGGCATGTTTGGGATAAGAAGGGACAGCAGTGTGTCTTTGACTTGCTCATGCAGCTTTCACCCTTGTGATCCCCTTTCTCTACTCTGCTCCTGGTTAATCCATTGCTTTTCCTAAGCTCTCCTCTCAAGGCTATTGCTGCATCCCATTTTCTGCAGCTTTTCCTGCTGCTATAGCTCAAAAGTTCCCATCGCCCAGCATTTCCACTGAATTTTACAATGTTGTTGGGTTCCTGAACAGCTCACGGGAGCAGCGGTTCCCACTCCCTTCTCCATGCCCTGTCAACAGGTTTCTGCGTCAAGATGTTCTACATCAAACCACTCAAGTCAAGCGGCCCCATCAGGAAGGGTGAGAAGATCGGCGTCCTGCTGCCCATGCAAAGCGTGTACCGAGGCATCACCTCCCATGTCCACGTCCAGAACTGCGACCTCACCGACCCCACGCCCCACTTGTGAAGGCCACAAAGGCATCGGAAGCGAAGGTTTGGCCTATCTCTTGTGTACCCACTAACTCGCTTGCACGCCGATAGTCCCTTGAGTAAAGCAGAAGCCACCAAACCTTGAATGGGGTCTCTGCAAAGGAAAGCCAAGCGCCCACCAACAAAATGCTTCATGCAGGGGAGCATGCAGGGGAGCTTCATGCAGGGGAGCTTCATGCAGGGGAGCTTCATGCAGGGGAGCTTCATGCAGGGGAGCTTCATGCAGGGGAGCTTCATGCAGGGGAGCAAGAATAAATGCACTATAGATGTCAACATACCCTGCACACTCTCTTGATGTTCACCAGCAACGCAGCGACCTGGGCTGTAACACGCCAGGCCAGCGCATCCCTGCTCTCTTTGCAGCTATATTTCTTCAGTAAGCCCAAATCTTCATTTCACTTCTGTAGGGGAAATTACCTTATTAAAACAATGATTCCTTACAAATTGTTTTGGATTTCTTTGGTGCTTTCACAAAGTTTGCCTGGAGGACAGATGATCCCATCACCCTATTGCAACTCCCAGAGATACTTAGGTAGCACCAGCGACCCGAGTGCTGGAAATGCAAAATATAAATGCAAAAAAGTGGCTGTTGCAGAAGTCCTCGAGGTCTGGGGCGGGAATGGGGCAACCATTTGCCCAAGAGTGGGCAAACTTAGACCATTCCATGTATTTAAGTGTTCTACAGCACAGTATCTATTTAACATAACACCGAAGAGGTCTTTTGGCTGATCAAGTAGCACAACCTGCTGATTTTTCAGTGATACTACAACCTGAACCAGACAGCTAAAACTCATTTAGGCTTTGTGACAAACCTCATCTCATTGCGGCCTCCTAAAGCAATGATAAAGCTTGATTAAATCCCACGTGCCAGCTTGATTTTCACCGTGCTGCTAATTGCACGACTTCTACCACAGTGAATTTCTAAAGCATAATTTGTTTTTTTACAATTCACGCTATTATTCTTTTTCCAGACAAACAGCTTTTGAGGTTTCTAAACACCGTAATGCACATACATCACCTGGAAAGCAAAGCTTGACATGCTTAGCTCACCACCTCACCTGAAACTGATGAGGGATCTTTGTGGAGCTTCTCCTTTATATATATATATATATTAAAAGGCAGAAAGTTTGGGCCTTCATGTTAGCGACTAATCCCTAGCTGTCCCTCACACCACAGCTGCAAACCGGGCAACCCTGGAAATGTCAAAACGTCCAAAGCTCCTTGTGTCTTCAGCTACCTGCTTCATCATTAACGCTATCACGACTGGGCCTAAATAAACTTTCTTGGTTTTATTTGTTAGTAAAATAGTTCATTTACCAAAAGCTCATTTTACTGAAAAACTCATTTACTGAAAACAAGTCTGTAAAAAGCTTTGAGACAAGTAAGTCTGGGAGAAGAAAGACTTACCAGTTCTGTTTGCAAATCCAGAGGTAATTCCGAGACTCAGACAACATCACTGCCACATTAAATTTGGAAACAAAAGAACTGCCCCCAGCTGCTTAAACTTGGCTGAAATGAGAAGTTTGTCTGAATGAAGCTTCTCTTCAAAAACTTGTTATCACTGTGTTGTTTTCTCTAGTAAAACATGAAACACTTCCTGCTGCTACAAAGTAGGGCCACGGGGAGTTATGAAGGAGTCCAGAGAGCAGTTCTGATAACAGAACTCCCTTCTCTTCCCATCAAAGTCATAGAATCATAGAATGCTTAAGGCTGGAAGGGACCTTTAGGGGTCATCTAGTCCAACCCCCCTGCACACGCAGGGTCACCTAGAGCGCGTGGCACAGGACTGCGTCCAAGCGGGTTTGAAGATCTCCAGAGAAGGAGACTCCACAACCTCTCTGGGCAGCCTGTTCCAGTGCTCTAGCACCCTCACTGTCAAGAAATTTTTCCTTAGGTTCCTGTGGAACTTTTGGTGCTTCAGTTTGCGGCCATTACCTCTAGTTCTGTTGGTGGCCACCAGTGAAAAGAGACCAGCACCATCCTCCTCACTGCCTCCCTTGAGGTACATATAGACCCTGATTAGCAGTCGCGGGGCTCCTGGTACGAATCCTAGGAAGGATTCATCTGGAGAGGAATCTCCCACTAGGAGAGCCTGGTACATCGTGTTGGCCAGGGATCGTCTTCGCTCCGTTTGCTCCTGCCCACGGGCAGGGAAGTGGCCCGACCGCAGCTCCGAGGGGCCACGCAACCCGCTTGTCCCATATCCTTCTGTTACGGGGCGCTCGGCGCAACCACGGGGCCCCTTTCACAACAGCACCTACCGCCTCGCGCACGGACACCTTCATTGCCCAACACGGGGCTGGCGCCAAGGGTTTCACCGCTTCCCGGCGCCCAACTGTCCGTGGTGACAAGTCCGCTCTGCCAGACCACACAGCAAAGGCAGGCTACATCCCAACTACTGAAACACGCATTTTAAAACTCCTTTTTTTTTTTTTTTTTTTTTGAGCAAAATACTTCCATCAGTTATATTGTAAAAAAAAAAGATATCTTGAGCTCTTCATTTAAGAAAGAATCGAGCAAGACACGATGCTATTAAGATCTCTTAAGAAGGAGACACAAAAAGCACATGCTCCCAGCGAGCAGCAAGCTGCAGTAAGCCCAGCAACACAAATGCAGATGTAAAAAATTACTGGCAACTCCAAGCTGTCTAACAAAATACCAAATTGCAATGCAGCAATCAAATAAGCACTGCTCTCACTTTCTCTGACCCCAGAGTCATACTGCAAATCTCTTACCTATAAAAAGTCCAGCTTATTTTATACTCCACTTTTCTTTCTCCAAAGACTCTGTAGAGAGAACAGAGGTGCTGCAGTTCCTCCCTTGGTAATAACAACCACCTCATTAGTTTATAAAAGGCTATTAAAGAAACCTGTTTTTTTAGGCAGGTGTCGCTGGGTAAAATTTATACAATGAGAGATGTAAAATCCTACTACTGCAAGCTGGCAATCTGGAGTAAAATGAGGCCTAAAGACCTGGCAGATAGAGACCATTACCACAGACACCATGTTTGGAGGCCCCATGACTGAGAACAACCAGATAAGAGCCAAAACTCATTTATTTTTAAGTGATTTTTGTTCCTAGCAGAAAGGAAAGTGCGGTATCTAGCTAACTAAGCTCAGCAACACTTTGATACCTACATCCTAGGAAATTCTTGACTCTCTCTCATGCTGGTTACACAGGATGCAGTTACTACAACATGAGCACAGCACTCACACTGGGCTGCAGGTAGATCAATAAAGCCCCCCAAGGAAGGGCCAAAACATTGAACTGGTGTTAAAGATTTTAAAATAAAGATAATAAAAGATTTTCCCTCCAACTGAAGTCCCTGGTCCATGTTCTCTGTTCCTGAATCTTTGGCCAAAATGCACCCTCACTTCAGGAGGAGGAAGAGAGTTGAGAAATGGTTCAACTGGAGCTTCCTGACCACTGGGATTGCTGCTTCCATCTGTTAGTGTGTGCTAAGAGGCCAATCATTTATCTTTCCCAACCGGCTCTAACAACAGTTGAGTTGGTTGACATCTTTACAGCCTAATATGGCAATATCATCAACTCGAGGTGTAATAGTTTGCTCAAGATTGATTGGCCAAAAAAAAATGGACTTGCACTTTCCGAAGTACATAAATACCAAAGAGAGCTACTACTCGATGTCTTTGATTTGATCAAAGAACACCCGTGGAACGGCTACAAGATGTCGGCTCTCAGCCTGATCACTTGGGTCAGCTTGGTGTCCACTGGTGAGTTGCAATTACTCTCTTGTATTTTACTTTTTCTTCAGATAGGCAGTAAGAAATCAGTGAAATTTCCTCCAATATACACGCTGCTAAAGCCATTTATTGCAATTTAGTTTTATGTAGAATTACTGTAATGTATAATATTATAATTTTTCTAAAATATAAGCGTGGGTGTGCATGGGAATTAGTGCCATACCATACTGAAGTATTTAGAGAATTTTCTCTTCCAGCATTAACAGATATAAAGTGTACATCTTTAGTGTAGTTGAAAGCAATACCTTCATTCATTTTTTATAAATTTAAGTACTACATCATTGCTGTTTAGCATTTTACCAATTTGTCATCTTATTCCTCACACATGTTCAGATGCAGAGGTTGCTTTTACATTACATTATTTCCTGTCCTTTCCCCATCTGGAAAACTCTAATTGCACCCATTCTTGTTCCTTAGAGAGAAGCTCTTCCTGCTGTAGTTTTACCTTGAAGAAAAATAAATATTTAAGTGAGACAATTTGATGCAGGTCTTGAGGCGAAGTGTATTCCAAGGAATGATGCAGGTTGGGTGAATAAGGGGGACTAGATTTCACTCATGGAATTTAAGGATAGGATAAAAACCCCAGAAGCCACATGTACAGGTAATGAAAGAGAAAGCTGTATTCAATGGCACACAGACAGAAGTGACACACACAAGAGTCACGACAGTTGTCTTCTCTTTTAAGCACACACTGTACTTTGCAGCTTACCAATTCCTATAGCACAATACTAAGAATGCGCTTCAATTTCCCTTCTTTTCCTCTTTTGCTCTTGGAGTTTTTGGCAGTCAGTGGGACATACACCCACCCCAGCAACACAGGCACTGGGCACAGATCTGCAGCGGGAACCCCACCAACAAGATCCGAGGCTGTGACAAATACGGCTGTGGCGGCTACGGTGCTGACAGGTAACGCAGGGTGGTCACTGGGAAGTCACTAGGCGACTTGGGGATTTCTAAATAAAAAAATCCCAACATAAGATTCTGTTTTGCCCTGGAACAAGTGTATTTGTGTGTAGAACAGAGATCCTTTTCAATAGTTAATTTTTCATTGGTTAAAGATGGATTGAAGGCACTAATTTTCCAACTTCTTTGCAGGCATAAAAGCTTAAATTGTTGCCCAAGGTTCAGATCTTGCAGTGTGTGGATATCTGTTCCTAAGGCTGGGCCTGCCAGGCTTCACTCGACACCTTTATGCTTTCAGGCACGGCGGCAAAGGGAAGCACGTGGGGGTGGATGTCATCTGCTCTGATGGAGCAATTGTGTACGCTCCCTTTTCTGGCCAGCTCTCCGGCCCCATCAAGTTCTTTCATAATGGAAATGCCATTGATGATGGAGTCCAAATCACAGGATCAGGCAAGTAACAGCAGCAGCTGCATTATTCACTTGAGTAAGATATTTCTGTTGCTTTTCAAGTTAAGCAAACTCTTGTTTGCTCTCTAATTCCTGTATTTAAATACAACTACAATCACACATCACTAGCAGGAACTACAGCCCTCTTGCTATGCTCTTTTGAAGAGAAGGGAAGCAAACCAACTATACCCAAAATCAAAAAAACTGTAAAAATAAAAATATCAGTAACATGTCCTATGTGGGGAGAATTGTCTCTATTCTGCTGAGAACACTATCCCTATTCTCAGTTTCTCTTTTCTTTCCCCCTTTCCATAAGCGACTCAGAGAATTTTGATTCTAGGTTGCTGGGATCTCTACTGTACTTCTGCTTCCTCATTGCAGTCTCCAGTAAGAGTCCTCTTACATGGAGGACCTCTTGAACAGCACAAGAAAAGCTACACCTGATGTTTCCTGACTTCACTTCTCCTCTGTCTCCAGGTTACTGCGTGAAGCTCGTCTGCATTCACCCTATCAGATACCACGGCACCATCCAGCGAGGGCAGGAACTTGGAAGAATGTTGCCAATGCAGAAAGTATTTCCTGGCATCATCTCTCACATCCACGTTGAAAACTGCGACCGCTCTAATCCTACTGATCTACTCAAACCTGGTAAAAAAAGAAAAAAGTGTGTGCATGTATGTGTGTGTGTGTATATATATATCCACACATACATAAAACACAGCAATGATTTCTTCATGATCCTTTTAGGACGATCCTTTACAAATACAAATTTAAAGATTTTGTTAGTAATGCAGAATAGGACTTGAAGACTGAAACACCATTAGGTTGGGCTAAATGAAAAATAGAGCTGAGTATTTTAGTGAAAAGATAACACTCTAGGAAACATGGTAATCCCTTGGCATTTCTCTTTAAAGGGTGTTCCTTAAATCAGATAGCCCTGTATGAAGAAAAAATTAAATCTAGTCTTGATATGCTTATACTGCCACATGAGAGACAAATCCTGTGTTGTGTCAACAACTCCAGCATATTCCTACTAACTAAAATGAAAACAAAGTATTTACAGCTGTGCAGCAGATCCCAGAAACAAAAATGCAATTGACAGAGCCCCTCAGATTATTCAGAATCATTCTGATTTCTCGTGTTTCCGTATTTCAAAGTTGTTCCACCATTTCCACAACACGATCGCCGCTGGTCAGCCGTATGTGCTGGGAATCCTACAAACGAGATCAGAGGCTGTGACAGATATGGATGTGGATACTACGGAGCTCCAAGGTACTGCAATTAGCATGAGTTTGTTACTGCTCCATTGAAATAGTGGGGTTAGGTCCATTTTAAAACTCAGCTTTGAAGGCTGAGGTAGCAAATTTGGTCATGTTTTCACTACAAAGGTAATGGCAGCAACACAACGGGCTGTCAGAGAGTCATGACATCTGTCTTGGGAGCTTTTTAAGACTCACCTGGGCAAAACCCTGGCCAACCTGACCCCGTGCCAGGACCAGCATTGACTGCAGTGGAGGGCTGGACTGGACGAGCTCCCAAGACACCTAACCCACATTTCTGCTACTGCACATTTCTATCTAAAGGGTTGTAAGAAACATTGGTTGTCAGTGTACGGAACTGCAAATCTAACAATACAGATCATAAAACCTACAGGGCATTACATAATCTACCCTTCCATAAAAACATGATTTAGATTCTTCAACCACAGTCTATGCCAGCACTGTCTTACAACTAACATAACCTTTTTCAGGACAAACGGTAAAGGAAAGCACAGGGGGGTGGATGTCATCTGTGCTGATGGAGCTACAGTGTACGCCCCCTTTTCTGGCCATCTCTCTGGACCCATTAAGTTCTTTCATAATGGAAATGCCATTGATGACGGAGTGCAAATCAGGGGATCTGGTAAATAGCTATTTTTCATTTAGTTCTCCTATCTCAACTTCACGTAGGAGGTGATCCATTGCACCTAAGCAGTGAAGCAAAGTGCATGTTTTGAGCCACAGCATCTTCTATCCATTCACATTCAGAAATTTTTGCTCCTATGTTGAAATCCTGATATAGGGCACCCACTCTTCAATATAACAGGCAAGCTCTCATTTTCAGGACTCTACAGTACTGAAGTTGGGCCCCAAAGTGCAGAAAAAAAGTTTTAAAAAGCAAAGATGTTTTAGTGGATTTCTCTCTAGATCTGTAAAAAGTCTTCAAGCTCTTCTCTTTCCTAAACAAGGAATCCCCATCCTCGCTCCACCTCCTACCCATTTTCCATCTTCCATCAATCCAGTAGCTTTATTCCCTTTATATTCAAAGACCACAGTATTTGGCTACTTTTATTTATTTATTCTTTTTTCTTAAACCAGGTTTCTGCGTAAAACTGCTCTGCATCCATCCCATTAAATACAACGGTATGATTGAAAAAGGACAAGTCCTTGGGAAAATGCTCCCAATGCAGAGAGTATTTCCTGGTATCACATCCCACATTCATGTGGAGAACTGTGATCACTCAGATCCTACCAGCAACCTCGAAAGGGGGAAGGGACAAAGAACATAAAATGGAAGTGCAGTAAATTCAAAATAAATTCATCTCAGCATCCAAAAGTTGTTTCTCTTCTCATGCGGGCAGCCTACTTAAATGAATGAAGGAAAAATGTTTACCCAGAATAAATAAAAACACAACATTCTGCGTTACTACTGATTCAGTACTTTGGGTTTTACATAATATTGCAAGGCCCTAACATTAATATGTGTTGGCAACACTAAAATGCAGGCCTGTTTGGCAGCACCTTTGAGCTGGAGCAAACTATCATTCCCGAATTTAGAGTGTGGTTCCTTTAGTAACAGAGAGACAGAGAAAAAGGACAATATTCCAACAAGCATTTGAAGTTTTCTCCTGTAGTATATTTCTGCATGTAGCCACCAGTGCTTTATTAATGGTGTCAGGTAGGAGCGAGACACGAAGGATTCTGGAACTTCTAAATGTCACCTGTAAGGTTTGTCCAAGTTCTCTCTCGCAGTTGCAGCACATCAAAACATCCTGGAGTTTGCAACAGGAATGGGGAAGGCCAACAATTAAGCTCCTACGTAAACTAGATTGTCCTTCCCTGGGTTTCTCAAGTACAGGATTACTGTAGGACAAAACTCTGCAGAGAGGGGGTGAAATTCAGTGGAACAGACAGGTATCTGTTAGCAGTGCATGTATTAGATCAGTTTATTAAGTTTTCAGTTATAGCAAAGCATGTATCAAACCAAATACTGTCTGGAAATACTTCAACTTTCTGTCCAAAGGTAAATTACAATCCCCTTGATTAATTAAGCACTTGCTTCCATAAAAAGTGCTAGCAAACAGTCGGCTGCCCTTTTTCTGCCTCCCTATCCCACCCTCCTGCCCCACTGTGCAAAAAGCAAAAATGCATTACTGATTCAGACGTGCATTACCTTGTTAATTCCCTTAGCTTAGAGCTGTGAACAAGTCATTGAACTAGCTTGTCCAAGATGATGGTAGTTTTAGACAACCCATGGCAGTTATTTTTGCAGGAAAGTTTAACTGTGGAAGAAACTACCTGACATTAGATATAATGTCACGAATACCACCATTCATCAAATGGGACACATCTCATTACAAACAGGAAGATAGACCAACTACAGCAAGAAAATAATTATTGTAATATTTGTATATAATACATTTTAGTTTACAAAGTGTGCAAAGTATCACAAATATACATACTCTACAAATGCCCCCTTCCCTTCCACTGCCCACAAGCAAGGAATACAAGCTTTCTCCTTCAAAAAAACAATTAAGAGTAACAAGCATTAAGAAGTCGTGTGATTTTTTTCCTGGAACAAAAATTTCAGGAACCAGCAACACACGCTCTAGGAATCAGGGCTCACAGTCCTGAGAACTGTGGCAAGTTACTGTGGCAAACTCAGGCAAAGCTGCTACAGATTATTGTGGCCTCTGAATGGCAAATAAGTTTTGGAAGGGCTCTTAACGCTTAATTCCAGGCAGAAGGGGCCTGAAGATCACCGTTTTCCTCTCAAACCTTCCTTCTCACTGGGCATTTTCCTGAAATCCTTCTACTCACAGTTCTGAACTGTGGCAAGTTACTGTGGCCTCTGAATGGCAAATAAGTTTTGAAAGTGCTCTTAACCCTTAACTCCTGGCAGAAGGGGCCTGAAGATCACCATTTTCCTCTCAAACCTTCCTTCTGACTGGGCATTTTCCTGAAATCCTTCTAATCTCTTAGTAACAGAAGCATGGAACAGCACTCAGACATCAGTGTTCGTAGTCAAAGACTTGGACTGTGTCCGACACAAAAGCTATTCCCTTTATTCTACAGTTCCCACAGTCTTTTACTGATGATGTAAATAACCAACCTAGATTCAAACTTTTAAATCCAGCAATTTTAACAAGGTCTCTTTCCCCATCCACTTAAGTGCATAAAATAGAAAAACAACATACTCTACAAAACTGTCTCTACAATTCAGCTAATCTTAAAGTGACTTAAAGTGCAATTTAAAATCAGGAAGGTTTGGGGGGCATAAACTTAATACTTACCACACCACTTTAAGGTACTCGCATCAAGTGAGCTTAAGCTAAATAAAAATACTTACATCAGTTCAGGTTACTCTAATATAAAGTATGAGCCTTTACACTTATAACAAGAACTGTGAAAAATCTGCTGCAGAAAACATCATGGCAAACAACAGGGTTTTCCTGAACTCCCAAGTTTTATCCAGCTCTCCACAAGCCGGATTTGCTCAAGGAGGAAAGCTTCTCTAGTTATCTCCTGACTATGTCAGAAAGACTAAGCACAAAAAAAAAGTTTAACTTCAATAGATTAAACTGAAACTAAATCAGAGAAGCCTCATTTAACTGAAGTAAAAAAGTACCTGTAAACCATGGACATACTTTCAAGAGCGTCTACAGTTAAGTACACTTAATTGCTATTTCACTATACCATGAACATTCTTGAGTGATTTACTGTTACCCCTATATCCAGGGTCTCAAGGAAGAGAAACTGAAATCTGGGATGTTTCCTATATGTTTCCATTTTAAAGTTCCTTACTTGCATAGAGAGCAACACCCTGATCCTAACAGTTTATCCACAGATGTAGACAGTTCACCACGTCGGCATCATATCAGGAAACCACATTCTTCCAAGGTGCTTGGAGACTTCAGAATGAAGCTGATCCAAGTTATAATCATTATCTGGAATCAACACCTCCTCCATTATAGAGAGCTGGGTGAGCCTGCCACCACACATCTTCACAAACTCGATAAACCCCCTGCAAGTTACTTCACACTCACCAAGCCCCATTGCTGTTAGGTTCTTACAGCGCTCTGCAATCTGCATAAGTTCATCATCCAAAGGCTGAAGTCCATTAGCACAAACCACCAGCTCAATTAACCTCGGGCAATTCATGCCAATACGACCTAACATTGCTTTGCTTACTGCACGGCCAAAGTACAGGTGTGTAACAGGGGTTTCCTCTCTGAAGAAAGCATCAAATTCTTCTTCATACAAGAAAAAATACATCACAATGTTGACTTTGGGGGAGTGTTTAACAAGAGCATCCCAGCTTTGCTTTTTAATGGTATGAAATTCAACTTGTCCAGGATTTTCACTCACAACATCTATCCGAAGGTGTTCGAGATCAACATGTTTTTCACTTGAAAGAGCCAGCAGCAGTTCATCACTTAAAATGTAGTAGTTCAAAGCCAGCTCCTTAAGTCCATGACACTGGTCAGCAACACAAAGAATTCCTGGGAAATAAAAATATTACTTTGTTAAATAAGAAGTGAATATAACTAACAATTATTTACCGTATAACTTGAGCAAGCACTAAGTTTACTGTCTTGAGTCTTCGTGCCCATAACCAAGAACCAAAAGTAGGACAAAGTTCTAAATATCACATCTGTTCACGTGTGGACCCAAAGGCCCTCTGAGCTGTCAAGAAATCCTGCAATTTACCTTGGAAGGAGCGAGCCCTTCACCAACTACTGCACCAGAACAACAACCATTTGTACTACCAGATCTGGACACTGGAGGGCACTGCAGAAACTGAAAAGCCCTTTGGTCTTATACTACTAAATTTTAAAGTTTGTAAAGTCTCATCTTTCTGTAACACAACTTCAAAGCACTAAAATCTTTTTTTAATAAATTTAACTCAAGCATCTTAAAAATACCTTCTTTATCCCATCAAGCAGCACTTGATCTACAGGTTTTGTTTTTTTATTCCCATAAAACATGAGAATCTCCAGGACTTCTAGAAGATGCAGTCAAGTGAGAAGCACCTCCACGCTGACCAACTACTCCAGTTCATTTAAAGGGACTTTTTTTTCCCCTTCAAACTTTAGAAACAGCTAAGATTAGGCCAAGAAAAGGCCTATGCTAAAAGACTCAAAAAGGCATGGAAAATACAGATAACATTTCAAACCTAAATCCTATCGTTTCCTACTCTTAATATTACATTTCTCAAATTCACTACTCACCAGCAGGTGACACATAAGGACAACTGCTCATTTTCAGTAGTTTTAGAGTATCGCTATTGTTAGCAACAAGAACTTTCAAAGAAGGATCATCCACGGGTGTGTCGTCAATCTTGATTGATGACAGTGACTTGGAGTTAACAAAAACTACTGTCAGCGCTGAAGCAAAATGAGCCTGTTTCGGGGGGGAAAAAAAAAAAAGCATGAGAACATAAACCTTATGTATAAGTCAAACTTCTGCATTCAAAGACTTTAGTTTAACTGCAAGATAAAAAAACTGCAAGATAAAAAAAAGTGTCATTTATTTTATCTTCTAGAAAATAACTCTCCTGTGACCTTGCCAAGAGAGAGAAAAAAAAGTAAACTAAAAAAAATCTCAATTTTTTCAGTACATTGGAACTAGTGATTGCTGTATCTTTTAATGTGGAAATTAGAAGGATCAACTCTTCTGAATTCAGAAGAGTTTCACTCCTTTATGCTGTGAAGTTAACAACACTACTAAATTTAATGAAGGGAACCTAAGTTTATTTCCTCATTTTAGTAGATACAAGATAACAGACCAATAAATATAGAAGGATTTATTAAAAAAGTATCAGCCAAGTAACTGTTCTCACAAATCTATAATATCAACATCATATACTTTCCTACATAAGCACAACTATTATTATTACTATCCAGTTTTCTCTTAAAGTTGTTTAAAGAGTGAATAAATATTTTCCTGAAAAAAAAATTCTCAGTATCTCTACTTATAAAAATACAGTTTGTAGGACATTACCTTAGAGACATTCATGAAGCTTGGTTTTGCTGTAGAAATCAAACCCAGTGTCTTGATAGAACAGTTCACCAACTGAGAAAGGATGTCACAGGCTGCTTCTGCTGACTCTGTGCTACTATCAACCTATAAAAGCAATTTAAGAATCATGTAGTTATTCACTATTACTATTTAGAAACTTAACAGTGTCACAAATACCAAGGAATACAAGCACCACGGCCTGTATTGCACAAGATTTCATTTGCCACCAGGTCAAAGTAACATTAAGTAGAAATTTAACGATAAGAGAAGTTAAAGTATTTTTGGAACTACTGCATTATCAAAATGTACAGCAGAGCATAGGTATTTCTGATATGAGTAATTTAAACCCAGCCCTTCTCTAAGAGCCTCATGCCCATATTTCCTCCTTAATAACAGGTGTAATTAGTACTGGCATTATGATGGACAGTGGCATGCCACGTATGTGTGCATGCATACAAACACTCACTTGACAAGTTAAAGCAGAACTAAAAAGCCTTAGGAAGCTAGTTCAGGTTACTTCGGGGACAATAGCTTAACATATTTAATAATGAGCTGAAGGTCCCCAATGCATCCATAAGCCTGACAGGTAGCTCTAGACAAATCACTGCTCCATCTCAGCTCCCTTAATAACTGATTAGCTCCGTGTCCTGCTACACAACCCAATCACAAGATCTCCAAGTGTAACAAAGTTCAGCAACAGCACTAATAATACATGTAACTTAAGAAATATTTCCTACAAATAAATTTTTCTTAAATTCTTCTATTTGCAGATTAATCTGTTGAGCACTTCAGCTGCCACTATTATTGCATTCACAATATAAAACCTCCACAGTCTGTATTTTGAAAACAAGTCACGTAGCCTTCAGCACAGCATCACATATTGTTACTTTTTTCTTCACTGTACGGGAACTAAGCTGCAGAGGTAGGAAGGAAAATAAGGTGTCTGCATGGAAAGGAGTGGTAGCAGCTGTGTTTTTAAAAATATGTTCCAGCCTTTACCTTGAAGCTGACGTACTGCAGATGATCAGCATGCCTCTTGATAATCTGCTGAATGAGATCAGGATGAGTAGACTTTAAATAAGAAGTAGCTGGCTGGCTGAGCTCAAATTCAAACCTCCTCCAGAGTTCCGGGACATGGAAAGTTTCGTTCCACCTTCGACAAACGGAGGATGCCCTGGCTCGATCGACTAAAGGCAGAAACTGAAAGATCCTCAGGATGACGTGGTGTGGCAGGCTCCCCCAGCCCGAGCCGGGCAGGCTGGCCTCTCCAAACCGTGCTCCCTGGAAACCAGTCCTCTTTTTCTTAATTTTCTGTGATGTTTGAGGAGCTTCGTTTTCTACCACAGCCTTCTGCCTAGCTCTCTTCATTATGAATGTAATCAGCTTCAGGCACTGGAATAGGCCACTATATTCAGACTGCACAGTTGCTTCTCAGTTTCAAGTACAGAAGGTCTCTAAAAGACAAAAAAAACAAAAACAAGCACACGGAAGATGGTAGAATCAGAGAAAAAATATTGTAAGAGTTAACAAGTTCATGAAATTTAAAATATGTTACTATGCAAAACGTCTGTCCTATAACATCATGGACCTCTGTATATTGATAAACAGTTAATGTTAACTCCGTTAACTCCAGCTTCCTCTTGAATATTATGACTCAATTCTGAGTTATCTTTCTAACAAAACTTAACCTTCTTACAAAATTTAACATAAGCAACTCATCTCCCAGTAACCAAAGACACATGAGCTAGTAGAAAGGAATGGATGCAGCAAGCAGGCCTGCCAGTGGAGACTTCTGCTTTGAGAAAATGACAGCCAAAAGCGTATTTCTAGTCTATCTAAGGAGTCTTGGTTTGCTGGAAATATAAAAGTAAAGGAGCTGCAGCATGTCCTTGGAATGGCACAGGGAATTATCAAGAGGAAAAGAAGTCACAATAATGTGACCTCACAAAAATAACTTGCATCCTTGGATTTTGTACTATGTCAACATGCATATATTTAGCAGAAAGAAATAAAGTTTCTTAGCCCAACTTTAGCTGAGAATCTAGATGTGAACATAACATTATCAAGTATAACTAGTTCATAAACGAGTGCTTCTTGCATTAGTTTTTATATGATCTAGTGAAGGCATCCAAATTATGATCTGCATGTGAATCAACAGAACACACTGTATATTTTTTTCCTGAAAGTCTTCCAAAACAGCCCTCAGAGTATGCCTGGATTTTTCACGTTTTTTAATAAATACTATGTTTCTCAATCGTTAAACACTAAATTAGCTAAAAAAAAGTTTTACTTTAAAAGTCATACTGGTTTAATTCTTATTCCAGCTTGCTTAGTTACTTGGAGCAATTTCCAAATCTGTGCAACAAAAAGAAGCACTGCAGTAAGTAGATGCACTACAGATCAGGTTAAGATCCAAATATACAGAAATTAAATGCATGTTCAGACCACATGCTTTATTCCACTACAGTTCTGTACTCCACTTTGAGCAGTAGGACTCAACTGACATATCCTTGTCCTAAAGGCTGAAAAATTGTCAGATATGCAAGGAGGGATATTCCGTTTTTATGAAAAGAGAAAGCACACACATCCAAGCAGAATGCTAAACTAGTGACACTCTTCCAATTATTTCCTGAATAGACATGTGTACTTTACATAACAAGTGAGAAAGTGATTAGGTCAGAGAGAACTAGTCGTGCTACTACGCATATTCCAACACATTCCATTCAAAAGCAAAGTAGTATTTGTAATCAATTACTAAGTACCATCGTACTAATTACGCTACTACTAATTGTACTAGTATTACTAACATAGTAAGATGCAAACTTCTTAGGAGCTCAGTATGAAAACACATTGTGGACCATTTTACTGAATGATCTACATGACCACATTTTATAACTTCAAATTCTTTACTTATGTACTTATGCACAACAAACTGGCATTCTGGGTGGGTGTATAAATTGACTGTATAGAACTCTCCTAGCCTTGCGAAATTTAGCTTGGTACAAATACCTGCTTATTTTTTCCTTCTGTCTCCTTAGGTTGCATTAAAAAATTGCTGTTTTCTGGACTTTAGTGTTTAATCATTGAAAAAATAAAATAAATGCTATTGTCTAAAAGAAGCATGATCTCAGTAAAATGCAAGTACCTTAAAAAGGGTAATTTTCCCTTTGCCCTTTGAAACTCATCTGAGCTTCACAGGGGCTGCTTTGGCTCTGACAAGAGATCTGACATCCTACAGCTACCAGAGAGAAGGGGCACAAAAGCTTATCCTGCAGACAAGCTGTAGTACATCCATTTCAGCAACGTACGAGATCCAACAAGGCATGCTCGGCATATGTAGTAACATAGGCTGCTCTTGTCCTTGCCACTATATCCCATTAGAACAGACAAATTCTGAAGTTCTCTTTTTTTTTTTTCTGTATTCTATACTGCAGAATTTTAAAACTAGCAACTTTTTTCACGTTTTTTCAAACATGAAGCCCTGATGTGTGAACACTTAAAATTTCGTGCAAGAAACACATCGAATTGTATGTGTATCTATGTATTTTAAAATGCAATTGAAGATAACTCAATTATATATAATCAAGGTAGTATTAAATGCGAGGTGGACATGCACACATACCTCCAAGAATGTGGAAGTTCCTGTCAAGTTACCAGCACCTTTTTGGTGTCTGAACATCCATCCCACTGATGAGTCATCCCGTATGTGTGCACGGATTCCTTAACCAGAAGGCAGAGAGGGGTCCCAGAAGATGAACTGACCTGTGAAGCCATGGACCAAAGAAAAGCTCTTCTGCAAATTCTGGGAGACCCTCAGGAGGGACTAAGGCAAGTTGTGGAAACATGACTGGGATGACTAATACTCTCTATGCCGAGATGTGCAAGTAGAACAGAACGTGACAAGTAAATCAGTTTTACCAAATGCTGCTGTCTCAGAACTATCAACTAGCTAATAAAAAGCTGCAGGTGTTCCCACAAACCTTGTTTTGGCGTTACCCATAATTTGAGTCACACTAGTGCTCTTATGCAACATAGGTACAGCTTGCATATTATTCAAAGAGGTTGTGTACCTACATAAGCGTTGATTTTTTTCAGCTAACCATATACTAGTGCGCTGAGGTTACACTGCTCAAAAGATTTGTATCTAAACATACAACATCCAATACCTTAAATTTAAGGACTCTTGGATTTAAACATTACTAAAGTTTACCAAAAGAAGGTATGCTACTGCATCACTATAATCCTTGACAAACTAGCTTGGCTAAACTCTCTCACAACTGGAAAAATACTGATAATGCACCAAGATGCTCCCATATACCACTATGATAGGAGCTACTCTAATTTAGTATTAAAGAGCATCTTCTTCGACTATGAATTTGGGAAAATATTCCCCAAATTTCCAAATTCAGTTACCCACTTTACATTAACTTACCAATAAAACTGCACCAAATAACAGGGACAACAACATGCAAAATCTACAAGCTGCATCGTCATGCTTGTCCAGGATTACAGAGCTGACATGTATTAGTAACTGTGCTTGTAGATGAAATCTGAAGAAGTTTTTAAGATTACTGTGCATTACTTGCACATTTTACATATTCTTCAGCAAAATGCGCTGATCATCCCTTTGCTAACTCTGCATGGCAGGACAAATACAGAGCTAAAATTCATCTGCAAAAGTGCTGCCAGTTTCATAAACATGAGCATACGACATAAACATAAAGCAGATAGGTTGATAATGACATGTGAACAGAAAGATACATAAATAAGATATTGTAACTGAAAAAGAGCGAAACAGAGAGATGTATCCAAAGAGTCAGCACTAAGGTGTAGTAACTGTAATTTAATAAACCACACGGCATATTTTGAAGCAACTTTCTCACCTGAAGAACGCTTCCAAGTTAGAACAGGCAATAAAAGAATGAATAGAGGTTGCTGCCGCCATGGGGCATTCAAAAGCATCTGGCCTCCTGTCCAGATAAAATGCCAGAAAAACCTTTATTAATTTAAATAATAATAATCCCAATAGGCCATCCCACGCAAAGAAAACAGAAAAAAAATAAGTTGGCAGTAATCAAGAGGTCCACTATTTTTACCATCCCACTTAAAAACTTAAAAGAGATGCTAAGTAACCTGTTATTCCTTCATTTTGTCCATCTTCCTCAGCTGCTTGCTTTAGTGAATGAGTTTGTATCACCTTAACACTTAACAATTACAATACTTAGTGTTGTAATTCTGTGAATTGCACAGCTTTCGAAGAAGGCAACTTTTAAAATTAAAGCAGGATGTTGCAACTGCATTTACCCTGTACTGGCCAAGAATACAATGTAAACAGTATGAATTATTCAGCATTTGCTTCTTTAACAGCAAAGTCCAGCAAAGAACACTCCCTGTAAATACTACTGCAACCTGTAAGTTAGGGAACCCTGCGAGTACATTGGAATAAGCAAGTACACTGGAATAAGCGAAGTTTTTTCCTGCCTTTTGCCCTCCACGGGCAATTCTGTCTAATGTTCAAGGGAATTGTAGGACACATGATCCACACACGGCTGCTCTCTTCCACCGTATGGTCCAGCATCCTCGTGCCCAAGACGCCCAGAGTTCCCCCCACTCAGTCCCACAGCAGGAAGCAGGGAACAGGACACCCAGCCTGCGGCCTCCTCCCTATCCCAGGGACCCCATCAGACAGGCGTATTCCAAACTACTTAATACTACTACACTGTTCTGCAGCCTTCTAAATTTCCTAACTGTTTGAACCAGTTACCTGTAATGGCTAAAGACTTCTAACTAGAGACTACAGCTTTTGCTGGAGTGAACTTCTCTTTCACAGAGTCCCACAGCGCAGATTTAAATATACCTAGGTTACACACACTAGCACTTTATGCTTTTATGCCAGCGTTAAAAGTACCCAAGTCTTATCCTGCATTAAAACAAAAAAAAAAAACAAACAGATTACTGAAAGGGTTCTCAAAGCTCCGATAACAGAAATCAGGTGTATGGTCTCATGATATCTCCTTTAAGGTTCAAGGCCACACAGGCCAGCAAAAGCAATTCGAACAGTTACAGCTAAACCAAGCAGGAAGATTAATGAGAACAGCTAGCAGAAATGCTAACAGAGATGCAATCAGATATGAGGTAATGTTAAAGAAACCACTTCTGTTAGAAACCGAATGAGGTTTAGGTCCAAGGTGGAGCTCTCCGGATTGCAATCCAGGATAAACAGTGGCAGCGGAGGCTGGCGGAGTGTTTTGAAGCCCGGCGAGGTTTGGCTAATCTGCTCACACCCTCACGTGTCCCCGTTCGCAAACAGTGCCCGTGTACACAGCTGCTACAGCATCTCCCCCAACAGCCGCGCCGTTCTCAACAAGGGGAAACCTCATGTTCTCAACACCTTTTCTGCCCCAAAAAAGCGATTTTACCAAATTAATTTATTTACTCCACAAAACAACTCTTCGCATGCATCCCGGTTCGTTACATAGCTGCTTTTCAGGGGCCTACCCAAATGGTTGTATGTGTCAGCAACCCTGATTTCTTCCAGATTTTTCTACCATTTTTCCTCCCCCAAGAGCCTCCCCTGACTTCAATACGCAACGTGAGCTCTTTAGACTTTAAAAATAGTAATAATAATAAACCTCCCTGGTTTTGGACATAAGGCTCTGCCTAATGCTCCCGGCAAGGGGCTCCTCAGCACCGCCTGCCAGGAGGAGGTGACGCCGGCCCCCGGACACGGCTACAGCCACCTCGGCCGGTTGTTCCCCACGCGGGAACACGTCGGGAATTCCCAGCGGGGACGCTACACCCCGGA